CACATTTTCCATGAAGAAGGGGATACTTACCGAAGTAATTAATTCTATTAGCTTTGGCAAGGATTCTCAATGTAGTGCACCCTTCATCCTTTTGATGGAGAGGGGTAATCATAACTTGATTTCTCTTTATGTGCTTGAACCATCTATATTTGAATCCACTTATTTTTGTTAAAGAGGTATTTAACCTACAAACTGTGCTCAAGTGGATTTCTTGGTACCCAATTCTTTTAGGGTCCTCATGAGTTAGAACACATTAACAAGGTTCCTTTTGGAACATAATTCAATACAAAGCACAAATGTGACACTCTTTTTAATTAACATGTTTTAAAATAAATTGTCAATTTAGATATCTTTAACATGCTAGTGCAAATGTCAATTCAATAAATAGACATGCCTATGGTTGCATACAACTCAATGAATCGATATGAAATTAATAGGAATTAAGTGAGGTAGCACAATTTCATATTTTATTTATTTATTTATTTTTCCCTAGTTGCGAAACTCACACACATTGCCTCTACTGAGGTTCGAACCCCTAACCTCTCTTTGGGAAGTAGGAGCCTTGTACAGTTAGGCCACAAGCCTGTTGGTCACAATTTCATATTTAGATTATGATCAAAGTCATCTTTTCGGGAAATATACATCATGTATGGTCTTTTAGGAACAATATATTCATCTATAAGGACTTTCCATATATAATAATCTAAGGCCTTGAGATACATTTTCATTTAGCCTTTTAATGATCATAATTGATTCCAACATGCTATGCAAGTGAATAATCAAGCAGTTCATAGCATGAAAATATTGTGAGGAGTTTTACCAATTACATTGCCCTTGGGATTGTTCCCAAGTGTGATGTTTGCTTCCTAGTCTTTGATTGAAAAAAATGCCTATAAGAAAATGTTGCATATTCTTCTTTTGGTATCCAAAATTTCTTGGGTGCATATGAGTTAGGTAATGGCATATAAGTCCCTTTTGGAACCCAAATCTTCTTTGACCTCAACTTCTTTCTAAATGGACAATCATGAATCTTATGTCCTAGTCTTTTACAATAATTGCATTTAGAGGATTGGGTACCACTCTTGACAAAATGATCATACAAAGGATTTCTTCTTCTTAACAAGCATGCATCTTTAGTGTGAGGATCATATTGTGTCTCATTTTTTAAAAGGATATCTTTTTTATTTCCAAGCATAGAACTTAAGTTCTCCTTTCCTTTGGTTGTGTTTGCTAAAGTGCCATTTTGATCATCAATGACTTCTTTTGAAAAATTATACTCGGAAATACAATCAATTGATGGTGGCTCTATAGATAGTACATTATCCTTTTCCTTTTTCAAGGACTCGTTTTCAAGTTGGATCTTTTGTAATTCTTGCACAAGATAATGATTTTCCTTTTTCAAAGAGTCATTTTCCATTTTGACTTTTTCATGTCTTTGAGAGAGATTGTGATTTTCCTTTTTAAGAGAAGCACATTTTACAATCATTTTTTTTAGCACACCATGTAGCTCTTTAAACGCATTATACAAGTTATTATGCTCATCAACTAACTCATTATAGGTAGCATTTAAATCAAAAGAATCATAGTTGGAATTTACCTCTTCTTCGGAGGCCATAAGACACAAGGCATCATCTTCATGATTTTTAATTTCCTCTTTGATGGCACTTGTTTCTTTGTTAGAAACTTGAGGAGCTATATTCTTCTTTTGAGTTACTCCATCTTTTTTACTATAGGAGTACAAGTGAGTTCTATCAAAGGCATTCAAATGGTTAGAGATGTTAGTAGAACAAGAATGCATTTCATGATAAGATACATTGTCTTTGATGCTAAGAGAAACATATTTATTAAGGTGTATATTTAATTCCTCAACTTGACATATACCATCATATGTTAATTCAAGTGAGTTCCAAATATCTTTAGCCATTCCACAAAGGACAATTTTATTGAACTCATCTTTGCTTAATGCACAATAGAGATAACATATAGCTAAAGCATTGCATTGAATTAATCTATGCTCATTTTCAGACCATTCCCCTTTGGATTTAGGAATTGTATTTCCTTCAAAAACTTTGGTTGGGATATGATCTCCACTTTTTACAACTTTCCATAAATCAATATCAATATTTTTAAAAAAGGCCCTTATTCTAATTTTCCAATAAATATAATCGTTTCCATCAAAACAAGGAGGTTTATCATTGGGTTGTCCTTCTAAGAATGTGATACTACCATTGTTGGCCAGGATTGTACTCTAAGATGGTTAAATCTTTTAATAGAGTTTAGGCTCTGATACCAATTGTTACCTAAGAATTGACTCTAGAGGGGGGGGGGGGGGGGTGAATAGAGTTAATGGCCAATTTTCGTAAATTATAGAAATACAATTTCTAATCAACAATATAACCAATTATGCAATAATCAAGATATGAAAGTAATCAATTTAGCATAATTATAAAAGAGATAAGGGAAGAGAAATTGCAAACAATAATACGGTGATTTTTGCGAGGTTCGGAAACTCCTACTCCTCTACTCAAGATCCCTCTTGAGACTTCCCAAATTCCTTAGAGCTTCTCCTTAATGGTGGAGTGCAAACCTTCAATTGAAGCAAGACCTTGCTTCTCTTTCTTGCTAGGAGAACGCCCTTCTCCTAGGCTTCCTTTTGGGTCACACCAACCCTTTACAATAACTTGTAATAGAAATGAAGTGTACAATGAATCTCTCAAATATAGAAGTATAATTTTTTTAGCTCACAACTAGAGTATTGATGAATATAAATGAAGCTCAAACTCTATGAATGAAATGAATGAGAGAAGATGAAATATGTGAAGAAAATAAGCTCCTATGAATTCAATAGAATCTCTCAAGTGTATAATAGAGTAAAAACTCTATGAAGATTAAAACAAGAGCAAAAGCCCTTTTAATCTTTATTGGAATCTCTCAAGATGGAATAAGAGTGAATGAGAGAGATGAAGAGAAGATAAGAACAAAAGCTCTCTTTGTAATGTAATATAATGTCTCTAAAAAATAATGTCATTCAGTAGACAAGCCCTCTGTATATATATATAGATGTTCATAGCTCAATATAGCTGTTAGAAGTGGTTGGGGATCAATAAATGAAAAAGTTTCCATTACAGTTTAAAACCCCAAAAGGAGCCGGCTCTTGTAAAACAAGAGGAGGCGGCTCCCTAGCCTTGAGAGCTGGCTCTCTATTGCATAGAGCCGGCTCCCAGCCTCTGAGAGCCTGCTCCTTATTTTGGGAGCCTGCTCTTTGGTTGAAAGATTCATTTTTCGTTAAAAAATAGCTACTGGAGTTGTGAGAGCTTGCTTTGTCTTTTACAGAGCCGGCTCTATTCTTTGAGAGCCTACTCTATCTTTATGGAGCCTTCTCTAATTCATGGAGCCTTCTCCATTTTTTTTATGGAGGCTTCTCTATTTCATGGAGCCTTCTCTATCTTTCATAGAGCTTGCTCCATTGGCCTTGTGAGAGCTGGCTCTATTTCTTATAGAGGCGGCTCTTGCTTCATAAAAGCTGCTGCTAAATTGGATTGGATAGAAAAAGTGCATGACTTCAAATGGACATAACTCAATCCATGAAACTCCGAATGAGGTGAAATTTAAGTCTAAATTTATTTTCTTGAAGTCAACTTTCTAATTCCACCAGCCTTACTCAAAAATTCTAACCACAAAAATAGTTATGGCCATTTTAGTGCAACCTGGTCAGGAATTTTGCAGACCAAAATTAGGCATCTTGTGATGGTAATATCTCACTCAATTCAAATCCTTTTTAGGTGAAATTTGAGTCTAAACTCAAGGGCTCAAAGTTAGCTTTCCAATGCCACTACCCTTACTTAAAAACTTCAACTACAAAAATAGTTATAGCAGTTTTAGTACAGGCTGGTCTAAAAATTTTATGGGTTGAAAGTTACTTCTTATGAGATATCCATCTTTCTAGCACCTAGGACTTTGATGAATGGTTCAATTTAGATCAAGTGCAGTTTCTAAGGGTCTAGGGACATATAAGGATGATACATATCAAGTGCATTATGTCCTAGAGTCATTTACCAATTTATGGTAATAAAGGCTTTAAAGATGAAATATGAAGTTCAATGCCTTTTCCTTTACTTTTTAGAGTCCAAAATAAATATTATGATTAAAGTGCATGGTCCTAGAATTTCTAGCTTAAGTTGTGAATTCTTTCAAAGCTTATGCAAGCTTGAACTAACTTTTTCTTAGCAAAGACTTCATATGTCAATATATATGAATGAAGTGCATAGTCTATTGCCATTGGATATAGGAGCACATGAATGATGTAATGATATGCATGGTCCTATAGAGATGAGCTTCAAATGTATTCAAATATACTTTAACATTAAATCTTAAGCTCTCACCAACCTATTTACCCTTTTCTTCATTCTTTAACCATGATCCTTTAGGCTTGAAGAAGACTTACTTTCTTTCTTATAAATGCTTGAATGATCTTTGAAGTCTTTGAGGCTTTCTTGAATCCATAGCTTGAGTACTTGGAATGCTTGGAATGGATCTTCTAACTCATCATTGAGAATTGAATATTGATCAACTATATATTACTCAACGAAAATTTTAGTACTTAAACATCATTAATGGTTTGTAATCATCAAAACATAAGATTGACCTTTAGATAAAAATCCTTAGGCCAACAGAATAGGTTGCCTAGGTAGATAACCCAAATCCCGCAAGTGAAGTCTTAACCACAATGTTTCACAAAGTGCAAGTGTCTTACCTCTGAATTCAGCTTCTGCACTCGAGCGAGCAGCAACATTTTGTTTCTTGCTTCTCTATGTAATAAGATTTCCTCCTACAAAAGTAAAGTAACCAGAAGTAGATCGCCTATCATCTATAGCTCCAGCCCAGTCAGCATCAGTATATACATCTATATTTTGATAACCATCATTTTTAGTGAATAAAATTCCTTTTCTAGGAGCAAATTTCAAATACCTCAAAATGCGCATAACGGCATTCATATGTTGCTATCCAGGATCATGCATAAACTGGCTAACAATGCTCAATGCATAAGCTAGATCCGGTCTCATGTGTGCTAAGTACATCAATCTCCCTACAAGTCTTTGGTATCTTCCTTTATTAGTAGGTAGTTGGTTGGACTCAACACATAACTTCAGTCCTTCTTCCACTAGTGTCCCAGCTGGTTGACATGCTGTTATGCCAGTCTTTTGTAATAGATTTAAGGCATATTTTCTTTGAGATAGAAAGATTCCTTTATTAGATCGAGATACTTCGATCCCAAGAAAATATCTTAAAGGACCTAGATCTTTCATTTTGAATTCTCTGGACAAGTACTTCTTGAGAGCCTTTATTTCTTCAAGATAATTTCCTGTAACCACCATGTCGTCTACATATACAATGAGTGCAGTGATCTTACCTTGTTGTTTCTTCAGAAATAACGTGTGGTCTGAATTGCTCTGACGGTAGCCAAAAGCTATCATAGACTTTGTGAATCTTCCAAACCATGCTCTTGGAGATTATTTCAACCCATATAATGATTTCTTTAACTTGCAGACCTTCCGACTATACTTTTCAGGTATCATGCTGGTGGGAGATCCATGTAAACTTCTTCAAATAATTCACCATGCAGAAAGGCATTATTCACATCAAATTGTTGCAATGGCCAATCCAAGTTCGCAGCTAAAGACAACAAGACGCGAACTGTGTTGATTTTGGTTACAGGTGTGAACGTCTTTGTGTAATCAATTCCATAGGTTTGGGTGTAACCTTTTGCCACCAATCTTGCTTTAAAGTGTTCAATTGTACCATCGACTTTATACTTCACCGTTTAAATCCTTTGACATCCAACTGGTTTCTTTCTTGGTGGAGGATCAATGAGTTCCCAAGTTTCATTTTTCTGCAAAGATTTCATCTCCTCATTCATAGTTGCTTTCCACCTAGGGTCAGCTAAGGCTTCCTGCACACTGTTAGGAATAGATACAGTAGATAATTGATTTACAAATGACAAATTTGATTCTGACAAACAATGGTTCGACACATAATTGCCCATGGGATACTTAACTTTACTAGAAATTCCAGGTTCATATGTGGGTTTAGGAATACCTTTAGTGTGACGTGGTGGTAATTGTTTTATGAGTGGCTTAGGCACTAAATCAGGAACATCTTCAGCAGGCGATTGGTTTGATATATCAGTCATGAGGGACTCGAACTGGGATGATGATGGGGTTGGCGTCATACTGTTAATTTATGGGCGTTCATCACCACTTGGATCCAAACTTATACCACTCAAATCCAATTCACCCGATTCCTGATTGGTTGGTCCAACTTGTGAGTCATCAACATTAAATTCGCCGTCTTAAAAAATGTGATAGTCATAATCTAGAGTCTGAATTTCATTCTGGTACTCCCCTTGAAGTTCAAACACAGAGAAAAAATACATTGAGTCTTCATGGAAGACAACATCCATTGTGATAAACATTCGTCGATTAGGAGGGTGATAACAGCGATACCCCTTTGATGAGTAGCATATCCGAGAAAAACTCATCGCAATGCTTGAGGAGTTAGTTTGTTGTGTTGATGCTTATGAAGGTGTACAAATGCTACACAACCAAATACATGAGGAGGTAGATTTGGGACAGTTGGGGCAACAACTGTATCAGTGAGAGCCTGCAATGGTGTCCGAAAGGCAATAGAGCTGGAAGGTACTCGATTGATTAGATATGCTGCAGAGGTAAGTGCTATTCCCTAATATGATAATGGTATATGCGCTTCTATCAATGAAGCACGAACAACCTCCAACAAGTGTCAATTTTTTTGCTCTGCAACCCGTTCTGCTCGTGCGTATTGGAACAAGTGGTTTGATGAATAGTTCCATATGCTTCCAAATAGTGCTGAAGGTTAAAACTCTGATATTCTCCACCATTGCCACTACGGAGAACCTGAACATGTGCATTGCATTGAGTTTCAACCATTTTATGAAACTTCTGAAACAATACGTTCACTTCACCTTTGGACTTCATGAAGCACAACCAGGTCATCTTGGTACAGTCATCAATAAAAGTAACAAACCAACGGGGTCCACCTAAAGTAGGGACTTTTGACAGACCCTAAACATCTGAATGTATAAGCATAAAAGGAAGTGGACTTTTATGCAAACATAATGGATATGAAACACGGTGGCTTTTTGTAATACCCCTAGTTTTAAAAAGGATAAAAGCGGAATTTTATTATTATTTTATTATTTTTGGGTGCTTATGTGGTTAGGTGATTGGTGATTTTCATTATGTGTTTTGAATTGAATTAAATGGTTTATTTTAAGTATTTATTGGGTTGATTGTTTTATTTAATTAAATGACTTGATTAATGGTATTTTGTTTTATGTTAATTGTATTTTTATTTTTGGAATTTCTTGGTTTATTTGTTTTAAGGATTTATTAGTTATTTTAATGGAATAAATGGAATTAATTGGATTTTCATTAGTATTGTTAATTGTAATAATAATAATAGGGTTTTAGCAGGTTATATATATATATATATATATATATATATATATATATATATATATATATATATATATAATTATAAATTATATATATATTAATCATTATATCTTACGACATTAGGTTTTCTATCCGTCGATTTGGATTTCAATAAGGGTTAGGGTTTTGTCTCTAATTATACAAAGCCTAGGGTTTTGGTTAAGTATATATATGTATTGTTATAAGTCTATTGAGGGTTGTAAGCACAAACACTATTCACGAATAGTGAAAATACAGAGAGTGAAACAGAGAGTTTATGGGAAAAACTGAAGGAGAGGAAGGTAAGGTTTGGGCCAAGGATTGTAAGCCGGACTAAGGAGGAAGCTTGAGGGATATTTGAGGGTTAAAACTAGAGCAGAGGAATCCTTGACGGAGGTCACGATCGCCGAAAAGTTGGGAAGAAGATGATGTTGAAAGGTTTCAAACCGAAACCGAAAGGCAAGTTCTTTTATATCTCCTTCCCTTTAGCTTGTGTTCTGTGCACCTAGATAGTCTCTAGGGTTTAATTAAGTAGTAAATGGAATTTACATGTGGAATATATGCTATACTGATCATCAATTTATGTTGAAATCAAATCTGTACAACATATGCATGTCTATTTTCAGTTTCATTTTTTCTTAAAACATGTAAATTCTGTTGTAAGTTTTGTTACTATACTTGCTTTTATCTACTGTAACAAACCTTGTGGATGTTAATGGGGGTTATAAGACTCCTAAGTTTAATAATGAAGAGGAACAAAGGGGTTGGAATAGAACTGTTATTGCAAAATAGTTTCAGATTTGTTCCTAATGCATGTTAGTTCGGTAGCAAATTTAATCTCTGTAATTGATTCTAATGGTTGTTATCAAACCTTTGGGATGCTCCTGGGTGTTAATAAGATGCTTAAGATTTATTTAGAAACCAACAGAGTGGTAGGAATTGATCAGAAAGGGAACAGACGGACTGAAACAGAGCAGAACGGGGATAGAGGCTCTCAAAGGAGGTGAGAGCCGGCTCCATAGATGTGGGAGCCAGCTCCCACACTCATTGAGCCTACTCTAAGATGTTTAGAGCTGGCTCCAGGCTCAAAAAGAGCCTGCTCTTGGAATTTAGAGCAGGCTCTTTTCAATAGTGTTTTCTGATTTTTTTTTTTTTTTTTTTTTACGAACAGTTTGTTTACTATTGGAGCATGAGAACTGTTCCGTTGACTCTAGGGTTTTACAGAGAGTCTAAATGGTTAACTCTAAGTGTTATTAAACTTATTATTGCATGGTTTAAGTCTCTATGATAAAGAATGAAGCAGTGTAAAAATATACAACTGTGCATGCTATTAACAGAAGAAAGGAACTGAGTGGCTTGTTTAAATTTCAGAAATTTAATGGGACTTCACAGAGGGATTAAATAGTTAATTTTGGGTGTGATTAAAACCTTGAATTGATGAAAGTTGATTTCTAAATCAATGGGACAAACAGTATAAAAGTGATAAATTTTCTACGCTGTTAACGGATAGAAGACGGATGAATTGCTTAATTAAATTTTTAGCAATTTAATGGGATCCAGTATGTTAATAAAACTTGTTTTAAATGCATGATAAGGTTTTTATTTTAGATTGGAACTATGCATGCCTTGGATGTTAATTGTTAGAATATTAAATTTTTTGATGTAATTACATGGATTAATATTGGATTTGAATTGCGAGATTGTTAATCTTCTTTCTGCAGTTATTTGGATATTTGGTTTTAGACGTACTGTAAATTACTTGTTTATTATTTATATGTTGTAATTTACATGGATATGGAGGATTGTATGCACCGGTATAGGACGGTGACATACTAGGTATGGTTTAGCTCAAAATGCTAATTCGTACCTTATGGATTTTAATTGGTGAACAATTTACCTGTTCAATTAATTATATGGATTTTGTGGATTGTATACACCAGTATGAGATGGTGGCATACTAGGGACAGACTGATTCAAAATATTCAGTCCTACTTATTTTGGATTAAGGGTACGAATTATAAAAAAAAACATAATTCTCCTTATATTTAAGTCTGTGTGGTTGAATATGCTGAACGACTTATTGGATCTTTTATATAAGTCTGTGTGGTTGAATAAGCTAAACGATTTATTGGAGTTCCTATGGATATATATGAATAGATTTTAAATATATTTTTATGGTACCACGAGATGAGCTTGAGTCTCAGACGCGTTGGTTAGGGTGCATATATGCAGTAGGATGCGTAGCTAGCTGTGTTGGTTGAGGTATACCCTGTTAGGCTTAGGTAGTCATGCCCACTTAGGTGCGTATTGCATGTTCCTTTCTATTCAGGTTGAGACCCTCAGCATAGTTTAGTGAGAGTCCTGTAGTGTGGATATGTATTTATCTATTACGGACTATATAAATATTGTTGAGGTATCTAGGGTGTATCTGCGTATCGGGTCACTGTTTGGATTGCAGTTAGAGAAGAATTTGTATGTGGGCCTGACCCACTCTTATTTTTACAGGTGTTCGTTTGTTTCAGTTTTAGAGCTGGATCGTGCTGAGCAGATACAGTCATTCACTCCATCGATGACTAGGATTTTATTTCATGTACTAAACTTGGGTTTTAATTTTCAGTTGGGATTTTAGGGGTCCACTAAATGGATTCTCGAGTTGTATAATTTGGAGAAGGATTTGTATTCGTGGAGGATCAGTTGTATCAGAATAGTTTTGTTTATCAAAGGAAATAAATATTATGAGGTTTCTATTATTGGATTGTCATTTTAGTTTTCATTTCAGCAAATTTTATTTTTCTCTTTTGGTTTTAATTGTATTCTGTGTTCAATTATTGCTAATTGGTTTGATATCTTGGGGTAATCGGGCGTGGGCTTGGCCAACCCGCATCCGGAGATCCGGGGGTATCACAATTGGTATCAGAGCACTCCAGGGTCTAGTGTCCTGAGGAGTGTTTTTGTTATAAGAC